GGCCTGTGCGGTGATTGGCCAGGTGCTGCCAGCAGCTGTTGCTCACCTTTGTGAGGTAAGGGCTGGTGTGACAGTTGGGATTTAAAATGCGGCGGTGTTGGGCGTTGCGTGTGAGACTTGTGTGCTGGCTGAGCCTCTTGCCTGGGCAGCTTTTCGGTGAGCTGCTTTAGTTTGCTGCAATGGGGCTTTGCTTCGGGGAAGCGATGGTACAAGCACTGCTTGAGGCCAGAACGCCTATTTAGGTTTGTGTGTCCATCCTGCCTCCCCTTCTGGAAACATGAAAGGTCCCTCGTAGAGGGGAGGAAAAGGACCTTTGGAGTTGCATAAAAGCAAAATATGTGGTAATACTACCTTAGAAATATGATGGGAATCTCTTGTAATCCTCTTGGCTTCTAGAGAAATGCATGAATCAGTAGCAAAGGGAATTTACTGATGGATTTTTGGGAAGTTAAATTGATGATTATTTTGTTATGGTATCTATAGTGTCTTTTAAAATGCTGTTCTTCGCTGTTGGGGTAGACTTCAGGCATCTCCCCATACACTGAGCTGGAGTCTCTAGGTATCGATCAGAGCCTGCCACTGAGGTGCTGGGCCTTGCAAAACACTGTTATCATCAGTTCCTTATCTGGTACCCAAGCAGGAGGTTGAGTGGACAAGACTTGTTAATTTTAGCACAGAAAAATCTGAAATTTAAACCAAACCTCATCTGATAAACGCTAGAGCACCCATTTCAGGGTGTCTTGTGCTGCCATAAAGAAACTACTGAAAAAGAGAAGCAGAAACATGCTTTATGGCTCCCTTCGTCATGGAAGTTTTGTTATTGCCTGCTGTGTTGCTGATAAAGACCTATTACTGTGGCCAAATCCAACTTAGATCAGGTGTTCTCCATATTGCTGTCTTCTCCAGTGTCAGCTGTTTCATCAGCGCAACAGGAGCATTTGGAGCCTTTGGCCCTGTTCCTTCAGGCTTTGCCCAAGAGCTGTATAGACCGTCTGTTGGCTTCTGTGTCCTGTCCCCTCTGGGTGCAGACAGCTTGTCATGGGGCCTTTGTTTCTGCCACTAGTTATGGTTAGGATGGCATCCTCATACTGCTCTTACATGTGCACGGTGTGGACAGATAGGCTTAGGGGTCATCAAGCTGATGTAAAACTGTTTTTGTGTCCCCTTTCCCTGCTCTCTTCACCTGGTCTTTAATGAAGTGACTGAAATGTGTCCTCAGTAAATGCCTAAAAATCACCTGTGTGTTCTTTCTCTCCAGAAAGAAGAGAACAGTGCTTCCACCTGTTACCAATGTACTGGAAACATGAGGGCAAAGATGAATCTGCACCAAGCTCTAAGCAGTATAGCAGCTATAGGTAAGCTCAGAAATTAAGCCTTACTTTGATTTTCACTGTGGAAAGTTTGCCACTTTTGTGGACTGCTTGACAGTAAATTCAGTTTTATGATGTCCTCAGATACAGTATTTTCTGTAGGCTAAGCATTCTGCAGGTTCATTGGACAGAACTGTCTTTGTGTTTTAGAGGCATGAGGAGGATGGATGGGCAGGTGTGATGGATGGATAAAGCGTTTTAACCTGAGAGAGTATTGAAGATTGATTACAGTTTTAAGACATTAGAGTCGAAGGAGATTTTTAGCATGTCTTTTTCTTTCAAGTCCCACCTGCCCAAGAGCATAGAGGAAAGGAAGTCTGGGACCCCAGAACCAGGGGCTTGGACTGCTAATTCCTGCTTTTTGCTTTCCAAGATGGTGGTGCTACTCCACCAACCTTTTCATTGAGTCTGGAAGCTCTGAGTGAGCACAAACCTGTTCCAGTGCTGAACATGGATATAGATGTCAATGTTAATGTTCAAACTATTATAACTGATTTTCAGAGTGAGTCTTCACTTAAGATGAAGTGTATACTATGTGAGTCTCTGAGCTGTTGTCTCAGGCTTTCTACAGATTCAGGAAGACTATATTGAATGTTGACAAGTACACAGTAAAGAGGATGTGGTTGAATTCATATTTTGAAATAGCTCTCCCACCACATGGATTAGTATCTACTGCCTTGCACTTAACTGATGGCTTTGGTTCTGCAGTATAAATTTTGTGACTGTGTTCCTGGAATATTATAGCAAATATGTATGCTGTAAGCAATATATTTCCTAAAGTAGTATGTTGAATAATGCCTTCAGACATGCTGGAAACATAAAATGAGCACAGATAAAATGTAATTAAAAATGAAGATGCTATAGTAATTGCATGTTTCCGTCAGCTTCTTAACACCTTACTAGGAAATGCTATTTTATTACATTTTGTATTTTAAATGAACATCACGGACATGAGGAAAATAAGTGTAGGTACTGAAGGGAGCTGTTTAAAACTATTCATTTGTGTTAGAATATTATGAAGCATTTTCACACTAGAGGCCCTTACAAAAAGGAACCAGTCCCATAGCACGAGAAGCTTGTGTGTGTGTGTGTGTCTTTTTTTTTTTTTTTTCCCCTCCAAGTATTTTGTGTGTGTGCAGAAGGGAAAGGTAACTAAAAAGGCTTCTAGTAAATAAATGAGGGAAAAGGAGATAGGGTTGGATTTGTCAACCAGTCAATCTCTCTGTCTCCTCATGGCTGGCCAAGATCAAGCAAATGGTTTCTAGGAAAGGACTGGGAGATGTCTTGGCCTCCTAAGCATTAGGAGTTTCCATTCGGTGATTATCACATACTCATTCCTGTGGAGTGCTAAGTCTTTGCTTTGGTTTCCCATGCAGGGAAATGGAACAAAACTGAAGCAAGGATTTACGCTGCAGGATTGCTAGTGCATTTCAGAAAGTTCATAAGCTTTCAGCAATGCTCTATACAAACACAGGGCGTGTGCCAAAGTATATGTATTTCTTGAGCTAACACTTCACAACGTTATGCTGGTTTCTGAACTTGTATAATTACTACCAGAGTAAAAATGTGCTTGGGAAGAATGTCTTTTTCTGAAAGACTGCTGCTGTTTTCAGTTGAATCTACCTTAGTATAGAGCCATGCGTCTCTTATGTGATCTATGTAAAGAGAGCACTCCTCAATAATCAAAAATTAGCAGGACGAAAGGGGATCTGATACCCTCCTGGCACTTACGTTGCCCACTACCCACCAGATAGGCTCTCCAAAGTAGATGGTGTTATCAAAACCTGGAAATTTGCCAGGTTGGCAGATAAATTACTCAGTATGGAAGGGTGTGTTTGAAACAAGATCCCCTTGGAAGAGTTCTGAGGCAATATGTGCGTAAGTATCCAAGGCTGTCCTTTCCTATTTGCTTTAGTTTGATCTTTCTGTCATCTTGGTGGGAGGTCCCCTTTTTATGTGTGTCTCTTAATACTTAGGAACTGAATGTAATTTTTATCTGTTTATGGGTTCTGCAGCATTTGTAAAATGACTCTTTCCTGCTGCACTGAATGCTTTGCTGTTCCGCGTGAATGATGCGCACAGTGCTTGGCTGTATATGCTATTTTTCATCAGAGATGCATTTTCTTGCCAGAAAGTGGCCAGTTGTAGAGAAAACTTACAGATACCACAGGTTAAGAAGAGTCATGAAAGAACAGTAAGATAATACATGTATTGAAATGTTTCACTTTCTTTCTATAACCCTCCTTTTATCCTTGAGTGTTAAAATTCAGGCTGTCAGCACCGATAACCTGTTGGCCTCTCACATTCCCAGTACGTTTGGTTAACTGCTGAGCATTTAGGAGGGGTACATCATGCTAGTGTCATTGCAGTTTAGGAGAGGATGGATATCAGTTTTAGACCAGTACGCTCAGTGTTTCTAGAAGGCACTTGCAATACAGTGAGTGGGCAGATGCTATAGCATGCATAGCGCCTAACTAATTCTGTATGGATCCTCAGATAGATGAGACTGTCATAGGCAGTGGGTTGTAGCAGTCCTCTACAGCACTGTGGGGCCTGCACTGTTTGGAAGGAGGTGAGAGAGGGGGGAGAGGACAGAGCACTGAGCACTCACACTCGGGTTTTCCTGTCTTCAGGGAGCCAGCTGAGCAGCCCACTGTGCTCTGGCGTTGCCAGCTACATCATCCTAGAGCAGCAGGTGGGTGTCTTGTTGGAAACGCTGCTTTCTCCTTCCAAAATACCATCCCCAAGCCAACCCAGACGGTATGCTTCTGTCCTTGCTGAAGAGCTGGAGAAATATCCAGGCATGCAATCTCCCTTTCTCTCCCCTTAATTCTCGGGAGAGTGACAGACAAGCAATTCCAGTAAAGCTACTCATGTGCTTGCGTAACTACGCTCTGTCTGGCCACCGCTAATCATCCCAGCAGTCCTGCAAGACCAAAGATCCAAATGCAAACCCCAGCACTCCCAGGGCTTTTGTGTTTCTCCCTATGGGCCCTTCAGTCTGTTAAACTTACCTAGATGCCCTGCTTTTCCACTTGGAGGTTGTAGTGTGCAGAACAGAAACCTTACTTCACTTTGCAGTGTCAGAGTAGCCATCTTGTAGACTTTCATGGAACGATGTTAGAGATACCTCCCTCTCCCAAAGTTAAGTCACTTCTCCAGATTTTCTACTCTCTCTCTCTCTCTGTCTCCCAGTGCAGAACTGTTTTCTCCATGAGATCCTTCACTGCATTGTTTGTTGTGTATCCCCCCGGTACAACAGCATCTGAACATTTCAAGATCTTCCATGAATTGTCTTTATGCTATTCACAACAATTAGAGAAGTGACATTTACAGAGAAAACAGTAAAGCAGAGGCTCAGTTGTCCTGGGTGCCCAGACAGGATGTCCCAAAAGCTGCGGCTGCCTTCCCATCTTACCTTAACTCCCCAAACAAGGGTGGAGAGGAAGCAAGAAGAGAAAGATGGTTTCCACAGAGATTGCAACATTGTGTGATATGCAGATTCCCTCTCCCTGCCCTGTGACAAGCATGGTATAGGCCACAAAATGCTGCAATCCTTATCGGGGCTTTTTGGGCGCTTTTTTTTTTTTTTTTTTTTTTTTTTTTTAGAATTCCATCTTTGCTGTCACTTCTTCCTCCCTCGCTGAAGGGGGGGACTAACTAATTAACAACAGTTCAGTGGCAGATGCTATTGTGAAAATGGTTTGATGGTGAGCTAACTTGGAATAAAATTCTCTGAAAGATCTAAGGAGGCATTTTCCAACCTCTATATGATACTCTCAGTTTGCTTGTGCTGAAGCCAGCCTACGCAGTCATGAAAACATTAACTCTGTTGTTTGCAAATGGCTGCTTTTTTTTCAGGGTGATACTTGTAGGCCTTATAGTTGTGTCTTGCATTAGTAGTCAATGGTATGTTAAGAATAATAATGGCATTGTCTATTTTATATACCTAGTAACATTTTTTAATTAGAGAATAAAATTCTAAGGTTGGTGGTAGTTACCTGTTTCTCTTCTCTGAACACAGTGTGCAATCAACATTATTTGTTTTTCTCTCATATAGAAATCACACTAACATTAGTCATGTAAAAGCTATAGTGTTTTGAAATAAATATTTATCAACATATCCTATTGTGGTTTATTTTTAGTCTGCTGATGTGATTGACTAGTATCTCATATGACCATGACCTTTGTAAGTAGAGCAGGGAGGGTGTGTCATTGCCCTTTAGGCTGGTATTTTCCTGTTAATTGTTGTCAGATCATGATATGCACGTGTCAGACCCTAACTGTAGCACTGCAGAGGAGAGAGCTATAACTTTAGTCCTTGCAGTTACCAGCTTTTCCAGGTGCTTTTAGGTCAGTGTACAGAGGGACACTTTAGGTTCCTAACCATGGAGAACCAGTGCCATTTGATATGCCTGAGGACACATTGTCTGAACTGCAGTACTGCTGCAGAGGAGCAGTGATCTCCCAGGTGTCCTATGTCATAACTATGAGCCCCATGCAGGCACTGCAGGTGCCCTGGGTGGCTATGCTGTGTTGGACAATCTGGGTGGGCAACTGAATCTCGCCCTGCGTGTTTCTGCTAGCTGGGTTCCCCCTGTGTATTATTGGGGAATACCTACAGCATGCAGTAGGCTGATGGCACCTGGCCATCACATGCCTCCCACTGAGCAGCGCAGGCTCAATCCTGTCCTAGTTATTCTCTAGCTACTCTGATGCTATTCTCTACTGCATTGCCCATTGCAAGCTCAGCAGTTCAGGCAGTCTTCAGAGCTATGTTTTTGCTGATACCATTTGGGAAGATTTCTCTGCAGGTACGAGAAATAAACAGGCTTTGGCAGTAGAAGGTGAGGGAAAGTCTAAAATCGGAAGTTAAAACTGTCATGCTTTAAGGTTTAAGGAATTTGTCTTTTTACAAATAATGGAAACTTATACTCGCAGGTCAACAGTATCTATTGATCCAAGGCTCAGAAAGCTATTGTGTA